GAAATGGTTCTCTGGGGGAAGCAGCACTTCTAATGTGAGAGAAGGAAGGAAAGAATCCCATGTACATCCTGAGAGAGCAAGATATTTCTTCTGTCAGGGTAGCTTCATTTGGGACCAGTGGTGGCAAACCTATGGACCTATGGCACGTGTGCAGCAGCCGGCTGTTTGTTATCGTTGAAAGCGCTAGCAGTTTCGCCGTCACTGGTTTGGGACACTGTGCATGGCATGCCTCTCTCTGAAGGGATAATGGTTCTTTGTGGGCAGGCGAAAGCTTTTAGTGTGAGGCCATGGTTACTTCGGAATCGAGATCTAAGGTGGAAATTAGTTTCTCGGTGTAAGAAACACTCATTGTCTGCCTTTCTCTCTGAAGAACAAGTCTGTACAAGAGGAAGGATGTTCTTGAGCAGGAGATGGTTCCGAAGTGAGAATCCCTGGCTTGTGACAAGGGCCTCTTCTGAGGAAGTACAGTCTGTTCTGGGCTGTACAACACTCCTAAGGGACACTCATTTTTACCCTCTGTCCTGGTGGTGGGTCCCTCTGCCAGTGATCCTTCCAAGGGGCTGAATAGGCCCTTTTTCACTTGACTAGGATTGTTCTCTCCAAGACTGAAGAGAATATTCTATCTCTGAGAAGCAGAGCTGAGCTTCTTATGAAGAAAAGGTCTCCCTGAAATACATGCCCTTTTCTGAAGTAAGGAAATCTGTGAGAGAGGACACAGTTTTTTCACTGAAATCAACACCATGAGTTAGTGATAGTCTCACAGGAAAACTTGCAGATTGTCTTTGAAGAAGGCGTGTCTCGGAGAGAGAAGAATCACCTTCTCTGACCTAGAACTTCTATCTAGCCCTCCAGAGACTGCCCTGATGAGGGAAGATAGAGGTGCAATCTGCATTTCTAAGGAAAGAGAAGGGGGAACTGGGGCATGGGGCAGTGGTAGAGTACTTGACTGGCATGCACAAGGCCCTGGTTTTGATCCCCAGCAGCACATGGAAAAGAAAAGAAAGAGAGAGATTTGTTCTCTTTGCTTCTCTGAAATCATCTCATGGTGAATAATCTGTGGAAAAAATGAGGCTCTCTCTTAAGTAGTAATCTATTTCTCTCTCTCTCCTACCTATGCAAACTGCCTTTCTGTTAGAGCAATGGAATCATGTGCCTGAGGCCAAATTTCCAAAATTCCTTGGAAATGCGGGGCCTTGAAAAGAATGATACCCTTTTTTTTCCTAGAGGGGGAAGAATCGTCTTCTTTCTGAGTTTGGGGGACTGATTCCCTCTCGGCCAGGGCGAAATCTGGATGTGAAGCATCAGTAGCTTCAGCAAAAGGAAGGTCTCTGCTGAGACTGCAGACAGAGGGCACGTGCCCAGGCTTTCAGACCCCAAGGCCTTTGCCCTTGGGATCCTTCCCCAAACTCCCAGAACGTGGGGCTCTCTCCTGCCTGAATTTCTCATCTCTCATAAAAAAAGACCCCTTTGTGGTGTGAGCGCCAGCTCCCTGGTGGTGCGCTGGCACAGAGCTGGGCCCAGCTGGGCAGGAAGCAAGAGGGGGAAACAAGGAATGATAAAGAGAGGGGAGGATAAGGGAGCTGATGTCTGGGACCCAAGAGGTTAATTCTCTCTAGCATTCCCTTAACTCCCAAGTTACCAACCCTTGCACCAGGACAAAGAAGCAACGGAGGTGCCAGGCAAAGGGTTAGTCAAGGATGGGGGTCAGCAATCTTTTCTCTGATCCTAACCTGTCATCACCCCCCCCATATCAGAAAAGTCATTCCTCCTCCCTAGTCTATCCAAACCATAAGGCAGCCTCTGTGACAAAGGAATAAAGTATTTAACGACTCGTATCACGTGACAGATCTGACCTGATGCCACCTATCTTCTGTAGGGCTTTTCCAGAGGGCCATCATCCAGAGTGGCTCTGCTCTGTCCAGCTGGGCTGTGAACTACCAACCAGTAAAGTACACCAGCCTTCTGGCAGACAAAGTGGGCTGTAACGTGCTGGATACTGTGGATATGGTGGACTGTCTTCGGCAAAAGAGCGCCAAGGAGCTGGTAGAGCAGGACATCCAGCCGGCCCGCTACCACGTGGCCTTTGGGCCTGTGATCGATGGTGATGTCATTCCTGACGACCCTGAGATCCTCATGGAACAGGGCGAGTTCCTCAACTATGACATCATGCTAGGTGTCAACCAGGGTGAGGGTCTCAAGTTTGTGGAAGGGGTGGTAGACCCTGAGGATGGTGTGTCAGGCACCGATTTTGACTATTCTGTCTCTAACTTTGTGGACAATCTGTATGGCTACCCGGAGGGTAAAGACACCCTGCGAGAGACCATCAAGTTCATGTACACAGACTGGGCAGACCGTGACAACCCCGAGACCCGGCGTAAAACACTGGTGGCGCTCTTCACTGACCACCAGTGGGTGGAACCCTCGGTGGTGACAGCTGATCTACATGCCCGCTATGGTTCACCTACTTATTTCTATGCCTTCTACCATCACTGCCAGAGCCTCATGAAGCCTGCCTGGTCAGATGCAGCTCATGGGGATGAAGTACCCTATGTTTTTGGTGTCCCTATGGTAGGTCCCACTGACCTTTTCCCCTGCAACTTCTCCAAGAATGATGTTATGCTCAGCGCTGTCGTCATGACCTATTGGACCAACTTTGCCAAGACTGGGTAAGGAGAAAATGGGTTTCTTTTCTTCTTTGGGACCCCAGTATGTCCTCCCTTCCATTCCCCTAACTTCTTCCTTCCCGTGATATTCACCAAATATTGCTGGTTGATCCCTTCACTCTCCTGCCTTCCTCCCCTTTTTGAGATTTTATGCTATCTCCTTCAAAAATTTTGTTGAGCTAGGCATGGTGGCACACTCCTGTAATCCTAGCACTCTGGGAGCCAAGGTAGGAGGATCACAAGTTCCAGCCCAGCCTGATCAACTTAACAACTTAGTGAGACCTTGTCTCAAATTTAAAAGTATAAAAAAAGGATGCAGATGTAGCTCAGAGCAAATGCCCTGGGTTCAATTCCCAGTACCACAAAATTGTTGTTGTTGTTGCTGTAGAACAGCTTGGAAGTAGAGGTGGTAGCTCAGTGGAAGAGCACCTGCTTAACATGCCCAAGGCCTTGGGTCACGTTCCCAGCGCCACCAAAAAAAGAAAAAAAAAAATCTGTACTGAAGCAAAGAACTTCCTTAGCACTGGGACTGGGCAGGGGTGCAAGTCACTAGCAGAACTGTGGAATTCAAGGATAGCTGGTCAGAAGCTAAGTGAAACGGGAATAAAATACATTTCAGAAAGACCCTCTGGAGGGTTCTTGGCAAAACTGGGCAGCTGAAAAGATGGACAGATGTAGCTGGGTGTGGAAGCTCCCACCTACGATCCTAGCATAGGGGAGGATGAGGCAGGAAGAGCATAAGTTCCAGCTCAGCCTGGACCATTTAGAAATCCTGTCTCAAGATAAAAAATAAAAGGGGCTGGGGATGTAGCTCAGTGTGTAGGCACTGGGTTCAATCCCCACTACAAGAAACAAACAAACAAACAAAGACCGATAGATGCTTAGGAGAATAGAAGACAAAGCACCTGTAGTGTGACCCCTGTGGATAAGCACAGGGGAGAATGATGTGGTTTCCATGATGCCTGTGCTGGGAAGGAACTAGGAGTCCAAGCCCTGGGGAGAAAGGGGCTGTGGAGAGAGGGAGGAACCCTGAAAAATATGGAAGTGGTGGGAAGTTTTGGTCTCAGGAAGAGGCTTTTAGGGGTAGGTGTGAGAAGAAAGTGGCTGGGTCTTTCCTTTATCCAGGTAGAGTGGTGACCCCAGATTTCCATGTGGTATTTCAGGGATCCTAACAAACCAGTTCCCCAGGACACCAAGTTCATTCACACGAAGGCCAACCGCTTTGAGGAAGTAGCCTGGTCCAAGTACAATCCCCGAGACCAGCTCTACCTTCACATCGGGCTGAAACCAAGGGTCCGCGATCATTACCGAGCCACTAAAGTGGCCTTTTGGAAACACCTGGTGCCCCACCTGTACAACCTGCACGACATGTTCCACTACACATCCACGACCACCAAAGTGCCGCCCCCCGATACCACCCACAGCTCCCACATCACCCGCAGGCCCAACGGCAAGACCTGGAGCACCAAGCGACCAGCCATCTCCCCTGCCTACAGCAACGAGAATGCCCAGGGCTCCTGGAATGGGGACCAGGATGCGGGGCCTCTCCTGGTGGAGAACCCTCGTGACTACTCCACTGAATTAAGTGTCACCATCGCTGTGGGGGCCTCCCTTTTGTTCCTCAACGTTCTGGCCTTTGCTGCCCTCTACTATCGCAAGGACAAACGGCGCCAGGAGCCTCTGCGGCAGCCTAGCCCCCAGAGGGGAGCCGGGGCCCCTGAATTGGGAGGTGCTCCTGAGGAGGAGCTGGCAGCGTTACAGCTGGGCCCCACTCACCATGAGTGTGAGGCCGGTCCGCCCCACGACACACTGCGCCTCACTGCACTGCCCGACTACACGCTGACCCTGCGGCGCTCCCCTGATGACATCCCACTCATGACCCCCAACACCATCACTATGATTCCCAACTCCTTGGTGCAGACTTTGCACCCCTACAACACCTTTGCCACAGGGTTCAACAGTACCGGGCTGCCCCACTCACACTCCACCACCCGGGTATAGCTCCAGCCCAGAGCACAGCTCACCTCCCGGCCCCCTCCCTCCCAATACACACACATACACACACACACACACACACACACACACACACGTGCACACAGATACACACACATACACGCACACACACAGAGACATATATATGTACACACTCACCCACACCCTGCAGCAGACCCATCTGCACAAGCATAGACAGATGTGGACATGCACCCGCATGTACAAAAACACAAATAGGAAGGTAAACCTGAATAAACCCCTCGGCTGGGGACGCAGATAAGTCCTTGGCAAGCTGAGGACCTGTGGAATAGCAGCTGAAGCCAGCTCCCTGAGCCTGAACACAGACACTCCTGGGGGCCTGAAAGCAAGACTTGGACACCCCCTTGGTGCTCGCCTTCGGCCTTTCTCGGAACTACGCCACCAACCAACTCCAGACTTGGGAGCTTTCAAGAGCAAAGTAGCTCTTCCTCCCCAGACTTAGTCTTTTTTCTGGGTCTTGTTTTTGTTGATTTTTTTTTAAATTTTGGAACAAATGCTTTTCCAACCCATGAGTGCTAAGAGGCTCTGGAAGCGAGGGCTCCGGGCCCGGTTCTCTCTGGTTCTGGAACCCCCAGTGCTCATATAATCAGACCGAGGGATAGAACCCCCATGAAAGAAACGGATTCGCACGAGACTATGGGGTGAACGGAGGAAGGGGCTGACGGTGGAAGGGGCTGGAGGGCCGTGGAGAAGAGATCTCCAACCGTTTCCAGGTCCTTGTGAAGGGCTGCAGAGCCTGCGGGCGCCCCCTAGAGGCCAGCAGCCTTAGCCTGGCTAGACCAGGGGACCTTAGGTTTGGTGTACAAGGTACTGTGGAGGCCATGCCATTATTGGGTCCCCAGGTATATAATCTGGGTTCTGCCTCTGACCCTAGGGAAATGCTATCAGAAATTCACCCCATTTTCTTTATAGTCTCTTTTGTGTCTGTCATTTCTCTTTCAAAAAGGCGGTGTTTTTTTGTTTGTTTTTTTTATTTTGGGGACTTTTTTTGTCGTTGTTGTTGTTGGCTTTTTTTTTTTTAAGAAAAGTTCTTAAAACACTAACGGAAACCCATGGAGTTTGTCCTTTGTAAAAATTTTAAACAGTGTCTTGATATAAAAATAAAAAATCCAGTCAGCACTCCCAACCTGCCTCGCTTGCACAGGCCTTGCCCCAGCAGCCCTCGAGCGGAGCACCCTGTGGGCTGGGAATCCAGCGGTCAGGCCGCCTCGCTGTGCCTCCCCACCCAGGCAAGGCCTCTCCAGTCAGGTTGCTGTCCCCATCCCCCGCCCTCCCCGCCAGCGCGCTCCTGCCGCTGCCGCTTCCTCTCAGCACCTCTGACCTCCTAATGAAACAAGAAAAATAATCCTTCCTTCCTCCTCTGCTGCCACAGCTCCTGCTTCCTCCCCATTTTTCTCCACCACCACCACCACCACCTTGCCCTCATCTTGGACTGGCTCTTGGGAGGAGGAGTGACCTCTAACATGCTGAAGTGCTTTCTCATACCTAAAGCCGGTGCGGCAACAGCCATGTGGGTCCCTGGCCTGTGGTGATAGAGCAGGGCCCTCTTCTCCCCCAGGGACACTTCTTTCCTGTTCTGTGGATTCAAACTGGAGAGGTCAAGGCGGGCCTGGGAGTGACTTCTCTCCAGAACTGTGATCCGTGGTTCCCTGACAACTCTGGGAGACAGACTCAGTGGGGCTCCCCAGGGTTAGCATTATGGGCTTTCCTATTATTCTCAGTGTCTCTAAGGACCCAACAGGGAACCTGCTCATCAAGTATGACAGTGGGGCAGGGTCACTGATAGCTCAGAAAAAAAGGATAAAATTCTTCAAAGTGACTCTGACAAAATGAGGGAGATGAATCATCACAACCAGGACGATGTTCAGAGGAGATGAACACAGGGTAGTATGGACAAAGACCAAAACACAGAGCTAATACCCTAATATGCCGCATGGGACAAGACAATGGCGGGCAGTGACTGACCTGACACATACATAGTTAAAGAAGAACTGGGGGCACAAGTTGAATGAGTCCACAGTTTTAAAACAGGTTTCCTCCCTCTCTCCTTTCTTCTTTCCAAAACTCATGTGGATACCAGTGTATAGTAACAAAAATGTACTGCAGAGGAACTGAGAAGTAATTGGAATGTGAGTGTCGGAACCAGGAGTAGCCCCAGAGTCATCTAGCCCAACCCACTTACTGTAAAGTCAGGGAAATGGACCCAGAAAGGCCCATCACGGTGTTTAGAAACAGGCCTAAGATACAACCCAGCCACGCACCATCCTTCCCACAGCCCTCCTCAGCATGTCCCACCCGCCCCGCCCCTGGTTATGGCTTGGTTACGGGCAACGCCCATCTTTAGCACATGTGGCAAAGAGCGGGAGAAGAGCAAAAACAATGTGCCATAGGACTGGGTGTCGGGGTTTTCTTTTTTTTTTAATTGAGAAAGAAGGAAGCTGATGAGGTAACAGTCTATGGTTGTAGAGCACCTACTAGGTGACGAGTATGCTGGAACCATCTTCAGAATGTGACTCCTAACTCAGGACAGAATCGAGTTCTCTCGTGAGCTGTGTTCTCCATTTCTCCTGAGAACGATAGAGGGGGAATGAGATGAAGTGAAACCCAGGGAAGGACAATGCTACTGATAGGAGAGGCGCGTGGGCACCTGTCTGCAATAACCGTTGCTACGTGGAACGAATGGCTACTAAGGAAAGCGCTAGGACCCTGCATTTACCTGAGAGCAGAGGGCTGGAGTACACCACCTTTTAAGGTCAATTTAGAGTCTTCATTCTTTTTTTTTTTTTTTTTTTTTTGGTTTTTCTCCGGTACCGGGAACCGAACTCACGACCTTGCGCTTGCCAGGCAGGCGCTTTGCCGCTGAGCTAAATCCCCAGCCCCTCAGAGTCTTCATTCTTATGTTCCAACATTCAGTGGCTCCATTTCAGACCTTTCCAGTGTGGGCTTCCCATTCTAGGGTATGTGTATCTCCAAATCAACAGTCTCCCTATTTGGAGGAGATTTACTCTCTCGTAAAACTCAAGGTCCCATAGCAAACCCAGCTCAGATTACAGACCTATTGGGGCCCGATCAGTAACAGTACAGTTGGGCTTCACACCTTTGGGAGGCCTGGCGTGGAAGAGGTGACCTCCAAAATAGGCAAGATTTCAATCTAATTTTGTGTCTACAGCTTGAGGCTCTTGGGCCCGGTGCTGACTGCCAGCCCTGAGCCCAGCTAAAAAAGCCCAGTTCTTTATTTGAAGAAAAGCTGAGGATGGACTTGGCTTTCATCCCACATTGCAAAGGTCATTGGTGCCTAGATTAGGTTGAGCCCGCATCCCTCAGTATATCTGGTTTCTATTTCGTCCTTTAGTGAACCAGACATCGCTATCTTGGAATCTGAATTTGTGATGTGTGTGTGAAGGCTAGAGGTTGGTCACTGTGGCAATCTTCACAGAGCTATGGTTACCGGGCCTGGAGGCCTAGCCTTTGCTGCCTTAGCTATACTAAGTAGAATGGAATGCACCACTTTGGGGTGCGTATTGTCAGAAAAACAAAAATGAACCATGATAAAATGAATGAAATGTATAATGTAGTATGCGACTTCAGTGTACAGTAAAGGTTAAAAGGACCAGAAGAATTGTAGAAAAGCGATAGCTGTGCGTGGGTGTGTGGGTGGAGTTGTGAGCATTCCAGACTGAGGACCTCTGCCAAAGCATGGAGGGCAGAAGGTCTCGGCGTGCTTGAGGAGTAGCGAGGGGCCTGACCTCGCCGGCGGAGAGGGTTCAAGCTGAGGGGTGGGAAATCACATGGCCAGGTGCTCTGTGGACGTCTTCCTAGCCCCTGGAGGGCGTGGGTATGATTGAGTGAACGATGCCTGCTCATAGTTTTCCAGTGAGAAAACAACCTCCCCAGCTCTGCTTTGGCGACTTCTCTCGTCCCAGAGAGCCCGCAGCTGCTCTGAGAAACTCCGCTTCATGGGCTGGTCAGTAACAGCCACACAGAGAATGCAAAAGTATGTGTGCTGCAGCCTGGAGATTGATAAACACGGCCCCGCCATTCCACAGATGTGAAAAGGTGAATGCCACAAATTATAGATCAATAAATGTGAGCTGGATCGAGGGCAAGATTCTTAGACAAATGATTAAAAGGATGATCGGTGAGCACTTACAAAAGGAAGCGAAGATTGCTCAGCCCCTGCATTGATTCAGGAAAAACAAATCACTCACTCCCGGCTCAGCTAATTTCCTTTGATAGGTAAATGGACAGGTACAGGAGGGGAATGTTACGCCCACAGCCTTTGGAGTTTAACAAAACATTCTCTTAATACTGTTGGGACGATACGGAGAAAATGCAGGGCGGGTAAAAGGAAACCTAGGCAGACTCTTTTTATTTTAAGGAGAAAAAAAATCAAATTTCAAAACAAGATAATAGGAGGGCAACAATGATTAATACATTGCGTATTGTTATCTTTAAATGAGTTACTCAGAGTCCAAAGTATCAACATTTAATTGCCCAAACAGTATTAGCACAAACCTTTCTTTTCAGTGAACTAAGAGAAATGAGTAGCGGGGCTGGGGATTTAGCTCAGCGGGCAAAAGCACCTGCCTGGCAAGCATAAGGTCATGAGTCCGGTTCCCGGTACCGGAGAAAACCCCCCCCCAAAAAAAGAGAAATGAGTAGTATAACTATGTATATTTTTTCTTTTTGCTTTTCCCTTCCTTCTTTTCTCCATTCCTCCATCCCAGTTTTATTTCCTTTTGAAGTTTCTTCCCATCTTGCAATATCTATTGTACATTTTAGATCTTATTTCCTCTCTCAGCTTCTCATACTAGGGAGACAATACGATGTTTACACATGTGCATCTGGTTTATTTCAGTTATGAGTACAGTCTCAAGTTGCATCCATTTACCTATAAAAGTCTCCAGGTTCTCCTTCTTTATGGCTGAATAGTACTCCATTGTATAAAAAGACCACATCTTTTTTATCCATTCCTCGGTTAATGGGCATTTGGGTTGTTCCCAAGATTTAGCTATTACAAATTGTGATGCTATGAACATAGGTGCACATACATCACTGTGCTATGATGTTTTTAATTCTTCTGGGAAGATACCTAGAAGGGGAATAGCTGGGTCAAATGGGACCTCTAATCCCAGTTTTGTGAGGAATCTCCACACTGATTTCCACACTGATTGCACCAGTCTACACTCCCACTGACAGTGAAGAAGGGTTCCTTTTTCCCCACAGCCCCTCCAGCATTTGTTATTGGTTGATTTCTTGATAATAGCCATTCTTTCCAGGGTGAGGTGGAACCTCAGGGTTCCTAGGCAGACTCTTAATTGGTTAAGTGACTGCACACAAAAGGATTCTGTTTCAATGTCACCAGATCAGATTTGCAAATTTCATAAAGCTGGTAAATTCCCTTACTTGAATTCCAAAATGCATCAGTCCAAGTGCAGGAGGGGAGAGAGTAGCCCACGGGGTTTTAGAGTAAATGAAAACTCATCATGAGTTATGAGTTGGTACAAAAGGACCATGTTAATTAACCATAAGTGTGGACTATATTAATAAAGGAGATCATTCAGAATAAAGCATGTGCTCACTTGCTGCCCTCTATTCAGTTGTGGGCACCAGACTTCCAGGGAGAAGATAACAAAAGCTTACCCAGAGAAGAACGCGAGAACAGTGACATCCCAGCAGAAAGTCTACTGTCATCCCAGTAGAAAGTCTACTATCGGGGCTGGGGATTTAGCTCAGCAGCAAAAGCGCCTGCCTGGCAAGCGCAAGGTCGTGAGTTCGGTTCCTGGTACCGGAGAAAAACCAAAACCAAAAAAGAAAGTCTACTATCTACTGTTGCCAAATCATTACTGGGCCCGTGGGAGAGAGGAAGCTGTAGATTTGTTCTGTGTGATTCCAAAGGCTTTGACATTTCATGGATGGAAGTTATAGAACAGCAGATTTAGGTTCAATATAAGGAAGTTGCTCTTTTTCCTTTCTTTTTTATAATGAAAAATTGTAATAAAAGTTTCAGCTCATGATTCCAGCCTCTTGAATTCCTTTAAAACTTATTACCAACAGTTTCATAAACAGAGCGGGAAAAACATCCTATGGCTAGGGGTGTAATTCAGTGGGAGAGTGGTGGCCTAG